GCATCCCTGGGATAAATCCCACTTGACCATGGTGTATGATCCTTTTAATGTGTTGTTGAATTCTGTTTGCTAGTATTTTGTTCAGGATTTTTGCATCTATGTTCATCAGTGTATTCATCTATAATTTTCTTTTTTTGTGATATCTTTTTCTGGTATTGATATCAGGGTGATGGTGGCTTCGTAGAATGAATTTGGGAGTGTTTCTCCCTCTGCAATTTTTTGGAAGAGTTTGAGAAGGATCAATGTTAGCTCTTCTCTAAATGTTTGATGGAATTTGCCTGTGAAGCCATCTGGTCCTGGACTTTTGTTTGTTGGAAGATTTTTAATTAGGGTTTCAATTTCAGTGCTTGTGATTGGTCTGTTTATATTTTCTAATTCTTCCTGGTTTAGTCTTGGAAAATTGTACCTTTCCAAGAATTTGTCCATTTCTTTGTGGTTGTCCATTTTATTGGCATATAGTTGTTTGTAGTAGTCTCTTATAATCCTTTGTATTTCTGCGGTGTCAGTTTTGATTTCTCCCTTTGCATTTCTAATTTTACTGATTTGTATCCTCTCCCTTTTTTTCTTGATGAGTCTGGCTAAGGGTTTATCAATTTTGTTTATCTTCTCAAAGAACGAACTTTTAGTTTTATTGATCTTTGCTATTGTTTTCTTCATTTCTATTTCATTTATTTCTGCTCAGATTTTTATGATTTCTTTCCTTCTACTGACTTTGGGTTTTCTTTATTCTTCTTTCTGTAATTGTTTTCAGTGTAAGTTTAGATTGTTTATTTGAGATTTTTCTTGTTTCTTGAGGTGAGATTGAATTGCTATAAACTTCCCTCTTGGAACTGCTTTTGCTGCATCCCATAGGTTTTGGGTCGTCGTGTTTTCGTTGTCATTTGTTTCTATGTATTTTTTTATTTCTTCTTTGATTTCTTTAGTGATCTCTTGGTTATTTAGTAATGCACTGTTTAGCCTCCATGTTATTTGTGTTTTTTACAGTTTTTTTCCTGTAATTGATTTCCAGTCTCATAACGTTGTGGTCAGAAAAGATGCTTGATACGATTTCAATTTTCTTAAATTTTCTGGGGCTTGATTTGTGACCCAAGATGTGATCTATCCTGGAGAATGTTCCATGTGCACTTGAGAAGAAAGTGTATTCTGCCACTTTTGGGTGGAATGCTCTATAAATATCAATTAAATCTACCTGGTCTATTGTGTTATTGAAAACTTGTGTTTCCTTATTTATTTTCTGTTTGTATGATCTTTCCATTGGTGTAAGCGGGGTGTTAAAGTCCCCTACTATTGTGTTACTGTCAATTTCTCCTTTTGTGGTTGTTAGCATTTGCCTTATGTATTGAGGTGCTCCTATGTTGGGTGCATAAACATTTTTTTTTTTACTTTATTTTATTTTTGGCTGTGTTGGGTCTTCGTTGCCGTTAGCGGGCTCACTCTAGTTGCGGCGAGTGAGTGCTACTCTTTGTTGTGGTGCATGGGCTTCTCATTACACTGGTTTCTCTTGCTGTGGAGCACAGGCTCTAGAGTGCAGGCTCAATACTTGTGGTGCACGGGCTTAGTTGCTCCACGGCATGTGGAATCTTCTTAGGCCAGGGCTCTAACCTGTGTCCCCTGCATTGGCAGGCAGATTGTTAACCACTGTGCCATCAGGGACGCCCCATAAACATTTATAATTGTTATATCTTCTTCTTGGATTGATCCTTTGATCATTATGTAGTGTCCCTCCTTATCTCTTGTAACAGTCTTTATTTTAAAGTCTGTTTTATCAGACACAAGTATTGGTACTCCAACTGTCTTTTGATTTCCATTTGCATGGATATCTTTTTCCATCCCTTCACTTTCAGTCTGTATGTGTCCCTAGGTCTGAAGTGGGTCTCTTGTAGACAGCATATATATGGGTCTTGTTTTGGTATCTATTCAGCCAGTCTGTGTCTTTTGGTTGGGGCATTTAATCCATTTACATTCAAGGTTATTATCAATATGTATGTTCCTGTTACCATTTTCTTAATTGTTTTGGGTTTGTTTTTGTGGGTCTTTTTCTTCTCTTGTGTTTTCCGCCTAGAGAAGCTTCTTTAGCATTTGTTGTAAAGCTGGTTTGGTGGTGCTGAATTCTCTTAGCTTTTGTTTGTCTGAAAAGCTTTTGATTTCTCCATTGAATCTGAATGAGATTCTTGCTGGGTAGAGTAATCCTGGTTGTAGGTTTTTCTCTTTCATCACTTTAAGTATATCCTGCCACTCCCTTCTGGCCTGCAGAGTTTTTGCTGAAAAATCAGCTGATAACCTTATGGGGATTCCTTTTTATGTTATTTTTTGTTTTTCCCTTGCTGCTTTTAATACTTTTTCTTTGAATTTAATTTTTGTTACTTTGATTAGTATGTATGTGTCTTGGTGTGTTATTCCTAGGGTTTATCCTGTATGAAATTCTCTTTGCTTCCTGGGCTTGGGTGACTGTTTCCTTTCCCACGTTAGGAAAGTTTTCGACTATAATCTCTTCAAATATTTTCTCAGACCTTTCTTTTTCTCTTCTTCTTCTGGGACCCCTATAATATGATTGTTGGTGAATTTAGTGTTGTTCCAGAGGTTTCTGAGATTGTCTTCAATTCTTTTCATTCTTTTTTCTTTATTCTGCTCCTCGGCAGTTATTTCCACCATTTTGTCTTCCAACTCACTTATTTGTTCTTCTGTCTCAGTTATTCTGTTACTGATTCCTTCTAGTGTGTTTTTCATTTCAGTTATTGTGTTGTTCATCTCTGTTTGTTTGTTCTTTAGTTCTTCTAGATCTTTGTTAAACATTTCTTGTATTTTCTCAATCCATGCCTCCATTCTGGTTCTGAGCTTCTGGATCATCTTTACTATCATTACTCTGAATTCTTTTTCAGCTAAATTGCCTGTTTCCTCTTCATTTATTTGGTCTTGTAGGTTTTTACCTTCCTCTTACGTCTGTGACATACGTTTTTGCCGTCTCTCTCTCTCTTTCTTTTTTCTTTTTAATGAGCGGGATTGTGTTCCTGTCTTACTGGTTGTTTGGCCTGAGGCTTCCAACACTGGAGTTTGTAGGCTGTTGGGTAGAGCTGGGTCTTGGTGCTGAGATGAGGAACTCGTGAGACCTCACTCCAATGAATATTCGCTGGGGTCTGAGGTTCTCTGTTAGTCCAGTGGTTCCGTCACAGAACTCCCACCACAGGAGCTTCAGCCCGACCCCTGGCTTGTGAACCAAGATCCCGCAAGCCAAATGGGGTGGCAAAAAAAAAGAGAGAGAGAACAATAACAAAGTAAAAGATAAAATTAGACTAGGAAGCTAACAGATATGTTAGAAAGAACATAAAAATAAAAATATAGATGAATCAACAACTGGAAGGTACAATAGTACAATTGTAAAAAGGAGGCAGAGGGAAAAGAGGGAAAAAAAAAGGCAGGGATGGAGGCCTTGGCTGTGGAGGGCGGGGCCTAAGCAAGGGCAAGGTTTGGGCGGTGGGTGGGGCCTGTGCTCAGGACCCACAGGGCCGGAAAAGGCCCTCATGGCTGTGTGGGGTGGGGGGTGGGGCTTAGGCTCAAAGGAACAGGAGGGACCCAGGCGTACCCCCCACCCCTGGTCTCAGAGGCCAGGGCCTCACCTGGGAGCCCAGCAGGCTCCCTGAGCCTGATTGGGAAGGGCAAACTCCCTCTGCTCCCCTCCCACTCCTCCTGGAGGGCCCCTCCCGCCTGCCTCGCCTGATCTCCCCAGCCTCCCTCCTGTGCCCCCACAGCCTGGAGGGGGCTTTGGAGAGCAGGGTCCAGCCTGGGAGCTCAGCAGGCTCCCCGTGCCCACATGAGTGGGGCAAACAGCCTCTGCTCCTCTCCCACTACTCCCAGAGGGCCCTTCCCGCCTGCCTATCCTGCTCTCCCCAGCCTCCCTCCTATGCCTCTAGGACCCACGTGGCCTGAAGGAGGCATTGGGGGGGGGGGGTGCTACCGGCCTGGGAGCTCAGCAGGCTCCCTGGGCCAGAGTGGGCCGGGTGATCGCCCTCTGCTCCTTTCCTGCTCCTCTTGGAGGGCCCCTCCTGCCTGCCTTTCCTGATCTCCCTGGCCTCAGGGGCACCCATCCTGTCAGGCCTCCACTTCTCCTCCCCCCTGAGTTCCCCCACCTTGGGCATCAGGGTCCCCCACCAGCGGCCGGCAGGCACCCTAGTTGTGGGGCGATGCTAACTTGGCATCTTCCCACACAACCATCTTGACTCCTATTCTCACATTTCTATTAGGTAGAACAGGTAATATTATTTCCGTCTTACAGATTGAAGGAAGCTGGTGCTTAAGTGTGAGGTCACAGAATTAACAAGTAGCAAATGGAGGAGGAAACTCTTCTTCCAGCATTTTTAGATAGTCAAAAATTTAAACACCAAAACCAGTTTCCAAAAGCAAAGACTTTGTATGAATGTTACCTTAATTTTTATAAGTAGCCACAAAACCCAAAGTATTGACATAGATCAATACTTTATACCTGTTTTTCCTTAACTGTTAATCTTTATTGACCATTATATACAATTCTTCTTAGGATAAAAAGGCATTTGAATAGGATAGCATTTACATAAAGTTCAAAACTGACAAGTATAATCTTTAGTGTTAGAAATAAGGTTACATTGGGGAGGGGTAGTAACTGGAAGACAATACAAGCGTTCCCTATTTTTAATTTCTTTTTTCAAGGTCTTTTATGTTGTGCTTAGTAGTGTTCTGTTTCTTGAACTGAGTGTGGATATACATACATATGCTCATACTATAAAAATTCGTCAGATTTTATACTTATAAGTTTGCATTTTTCTATATGTCTTATATATCAACAAAAAAATTTTACTTTAAAAAATGTAAGAATTTATTTATTCATCCTTGCTTGCATCTAAAGAAATTCACAAATCTTAAAATTACTCATTTCTTTTGGCTTTTTAACATTCAGGCATGTCCATATATTGAAAAATAATTTAAAATTTTAATATTTTAAAAATATTTTCAAATTCTTCTTTCCTCAGCAAAGAAAGAATAATAAGAAGGTTCGAGTGACAGTGAAGCCCCATTTGCTATACAGAGTAAGTTTCCTGTCAGAGAATTCAGAGTTGTTGTTTTTGCTTTGAAAGTATAGAAGGAACAAAATGTTTTCAATACATTAGTAGAAAAACTTCTTAAAATTAGTGTTAATAATAATAATTAAATCTTTCTTCTCTTCAGCCTTTAGAACAGCAACATGGAGTCATTCCTGATCGGGATGCAGAGTTTCGTCTCTTTGACCGAGTTGTAAATGTGAGAGAGAACTTTTCCGTTCCAGTTGGCCTTCGGGGCACCATCATAGGAATTAAAGGGGGTAATAATTCAATATTTGACGTGTCTCCAACTGTGTTTATATTGTAGAGTGAAACACAAACTTGTGTGTGTTATACGTAAGCAGTAAGCAACTATAAATCAGGAAAAACACTAAATCCTTTTATGTTTTAGTTAAGTTTTTTCCAGCTTTAGGTTTTCAGAGAAAATTCTTCTTCTCTATCTTGTGTAATCATCTGGGAAGTGATTAAAACGTGGGGAAGTTGAGGAACGGCTGCTGAAAATTTGGTAGCTTATGTGTAGCACATTAAAATTATCTAAAACCTTAGAATACATACTTGTGTTTTCATGAAACTAAGAGAAACATTTCATCGGGCTTCATCTAACCTTGTTCAGGGCTTTACCTTAATTGTCATTGTAATCTCTTGATATCTGTGGAGAAATAAACAAACATGATGCATCAGCTTATTTGTGGTTAAAAGATTTGCATATTTATTTGAATTTTATGAATACAACTAGATATTGTATGTAAAACAGACCTATCAATCTGTTGTATAACAATGTGCATATAGTTAACACTACAATACTATACATTTAAAAATGGTTACAATGATAAATTTTATATTATATGTTTTTTACAAAAAAAGAAAAAAAAAAGAAAGAAAAATGAGAGTATGGAAAGAAAAGGGAAGAATTAGCTAAGGATCTAAAAATGCCTCAAAGGGATGCCTGGAGTGAGTAGCTTTGCAGCATAGATTCCAAAAAAAAGTCAACCCAACATGAAGCAGCAAATCAGGTACCTAGAGGTCAGAGCGCTGGCAGCACTGTCCCTCCATATCCCAGGCACTCAGCCTTGGTCTCACTGCCAGAAAGAAGGAAGAGCAGACAGGCCATGAGCCTAAGAGAGCTGCTTATTTATTGCCAACAGTGTGCCCGGCACTTTTACATTTTACATTTAACCCTCCCAACCACCTGAGAGGGAGATATTATTTCCTCGCCTAAGAGTTTAAGTGACTTGCCCAAATTTACACAAATAAGTGGCAGAGCTGGGATTTGAACTCTGTGCCCTGTTTCTTTTCTAACTTTGAGCAGTGGTTCTCCACATTTGCACATCTTCTTGGGGTCTGCCTCTAAAAAGAGAATTTTCTTCCCTGATTTTTCTTTGAATTTTTTTGGGTACATTTCTGGTGCTGAAAATGGAGGTGGGAAGGTTAAGTAGGTTAAGCCCAGGCTAAGTATGGTAAGGGTCAGATGGGTGCAATGAAGCAACCCTCCTGCTGCTATCTGTTCAGCCTCAGGCATTGGCAGTTCAAATGTTGAGCTTATTGGATTGTACTCTAATTAGATTGTCCTGAAAAAGCCTTAGAACTCTGATAACATAGAAGTTTCCTTTCTTCTGACAACCCCTATCAGTAGTAGTGACCACTTGGAATTTTGTCTTGACAAAAATTTTAAAGCTACATCTACTCTGAGTGGAAAAAGCTCTGTCATTGATTAACCATATCTGCCATGGACATGGAATATAAAGGGAAATATTTGTCTTACTGCCTTCAGCTGATACCTCATCTCCGTTGTCATCTCCACTAAAGGGGGTGAACAATCCTCTTATCAATAATCTTTTGAGTAAGTGGCTTCTCCCTCAGACGGGAAACAGGAACTTAGAAAGTGGACCTTAAGCCTTCAGAGGAGAAACTCCTGCCTCCCATTGAGCCCCACTTTCTTGGGTTTAGATTTTAGGTAAAAGTGTCAGGTGAAAGGTACAGCTAGATGGGGGAGAATGAGTAAGCTCTGCAGGCCTGGTTTCATTTGGGCAATGAGGGACCAAGAATGAGGGACCAAGAATGAGGGAAACATCCCCCAACCCCTAACATAGTATCAGGTATGGTATTAGCATTCTCCCGAGAAACAGAACCAATAGCGTGGAAAGGGGTGGGGATAGAGATGGGGAGAGAGAGAGAGAGAGAGAGAGAGAGAGAGAGAGAGAGAGAGAGAGTCAATTCTAAAGTTATGTGATAGACTCTATTATTAATTTGGGCTTAGAATTCAAATATTATTATAGTTAATTATTTCACTTTATCTTGGCATTTTAGTAAATTTAAACTTTCCAGTTATATCCCATCATCCTCTCTGCCAAAATTTATTCTTTTCTGTTCCTCCTTAAGTTTATTGCACCAGTCTTTCTCACGTGTCTCATGTCTCAGTCATGCCATCCATTATCTACCAAGTCATCTCAGCCAGAACTTCGGAGTAGTCTTTGACATCTCTGTTCTTTTTGTCTACACAGGTCACAAACTCCTGCCAGTTCTATCTAGTAGTATATCCGTTCTCTCCATTCTGTTCCTTTCATTACTGCCATGTCTTCAAATCTTCATTTCCTTTGTCTGATTGTAAGACCTTCTAAACCGCAAATTCCAAAGTTATCTCTTATTTACTCTCTTTTTATGAATAATTTCCAACATACACCAAAACAGAGAGAAAAATATAATTAATTCTCACAGCATCTAATTTAAAATAGTATTATTTTACTCTGTGAGCTTATTTTCTTTTCATTCACTCTCTGTATTGATAGTTGTAGTGCTTCTTATCCCCCAAAAACTTACATGCTGATTTTTCTTTTATCGTATGATTTTTCAGTCTCTCTCTTTTTTAAACAGCTAATAGAGAAGCTGATGTACTATTTGAAGTGTTATTTGATGAAGAATTTCCTGGAGGTTTAACAATAAGGTTTGTATTTCCAGATGATAATTATACTTTGTAAATATACCCATGTGGCCAATAACTACATTACTTGTTTATTTGTCCACAATTTCAGTTCCTAGTATGTACAAGACATCATACTTGCTACCAGGAGTGTAACAGTGAATAAGACAGACATGGTTTCTACCCTCATGGAGCTTTCATTTTAGTAGGGGGGATACATTGAGTTGGCCAAAAAGTTCGCTCGGGTTTTTTGTAAGATGGTACCAAAAACCCGAACGAACTTTTTGGCCAACCCAATAATTAACTTACTACAATATTAATTTTTTAATTAAAATGTGACAAGTGCTGGGAAGAAGTATTTCAGGTGTCTATAAGAGTATGATCTGTCCTGAGAGTTCTAGAAAGGCTTTCTTTAAGCAGTGACGTTTAAAATGGGACATGAAGAATAGGTAACTGGAGGAAGAGTGACAAGTGGTCAGGAAGAAAGAATAGCATATGCAACAGAGGACATTTTCACTCATTTAAAAACTAAAAGAATGCAGGTGTGTCAACTTCAGCAGCTGTGTAAGATTAGAGTAAGGGAGAAGAGCAAGGACCACACTACGCAGGAACTGGTAAGCCACTTTCAGGACATGCTAAGGATCTTGGTATCATGGTCTTTATCATTAAAGCAATGTGAAGCCATCAAACTCAGAAATGTGACATGATCAGATTTGCATTTTTTTTAAGGTTAAATAACTTGAGGAATAGAAATGTTCTTTGAATTGAGTGACATTTTAAGTCTTTGTCATTTGTTTTAGTGGAGTTGTGGGTGCTCAAGCTAGATTGGGTTGGTTTGAGGAGTGAATGGCAGGTGTAACAAGGGAGGCAAGAAACTGAGCTGACCCTTGAGAAGTTTGACCATGAAGGGGAGAAAAGATAACTGGGGGTGAGGAGGTTTAAAGGAAGAGGATTGGATTGTTTGTTTTTAATTTAACATGGCGGAGACTTGTTCAAATCTATTTTGGGGAGCATTAATAGAAAGAAAGTTTCAAATTATAGGAAAAAGATCATGTTAGAATGAGAGGTGCCATGGAATATTAGAAAGTGTGGGCTCTTTCACTTAACCTTTGTGTTACCTTAGGTAGGTTAGTTAAAAGCATTCTGACCCTCAATTTCCTCATCTATAATGAAGATGTGCACTTCACTAGGTGATTGTGAGGGTTAAATGAAATCCTTTCCAGTTTTCCTTTCTCCCTTCTAAACACCAACTGGAAAACTGAACTGAAGTTAGCTTAGTTTCTTTTTCTCCTCTGTTTTGATTAGTGGTAATTAAAATAAAAAATTAATTACTCTTATTTAGCCTATTTGCATAAAATCACAATCTTCAGTCCTTACAAGTAGTGATCACATTCAGAATACTATTATTGTTTTGCAACTTGAATGTGCCTATTACCCAAAGACTTTACTGTCTGCACTCTTTTTTTTTTTTTTTTTTTTTTTTGTGGTACGTGGGCCTCTCACTGCTGCGGCCTCTCCCGTTGCGGAGCACAGGCTCCGGACGCACAGGCTCAGCGGCCATGGCTCACGGGCCCAGCCGCTCCGCAGCATGTGGGATCCTCCCGGACCGCGGCACGAACCTGCGTGACCTGCATCGGCAGGTGGACTCTCAACCACTGCGCCACCAGGGAAGCCCTACTGTCTGCACTCTTAAATGCAGCAGCAGGGTCTGGATCCCATATCTGATTTTATTTTTCATGAAAATGTTTGATTACCAATAACTTTAGGCAAAATAACTTTGAAATATATTTTTAGGATGATTAACTTTTTTCTCAGGGTTTTTTTTTTCCTCTCCTAGGTAGAGACACCGGATTTCTTGACTGACTGAGAGCTGTGTAAAAGATTACATGCCTGCAATATATTCATTTCTATAATGCAGAATCTTAAACTATAGTTCTCACAAAATTATTTTCTAGAAATCTTACAAAGATTTCTCATGAAGGAATTCTACTTCCCCATGATCTCAGAATATAAGAAAATTACTTTCTAAAGAGGTGATAGAGTTGAAAACTTTTGACCAGAGAAGGCTTATTTTAATATCTAAACACTTTTATCAAGGCCAGGAAGGAAGGAAATCGCAAATACTTGTCTCTTAGCCTTCCCAGTTCTGGAACATTAAGATGGGAAGATGAGGATAAAAAGAACTGGACTCAACAATTGATCAGGAGACAAAAGTGATCAAAGCTAACATTTGCCCTGTTGCATAGGTAGAGCCACACTAGCTCCACACGGGGTAGCTTCATAACCTTTTAAAGAAGTTTGACATTTAATTCATGAATTTTTGGTTAACTCAGCTATTATGTTGCAAGCCTTCTGAGGACAAACTAACACACACACACCTCTACACATACAACTATACCTCTAGAACATTTTCAGAAACTTTTCAGAAATCTTATAAATTGAGATCTTTCTATGATTTCAAGTTCCTTTACTGAATTTAAAAGTAATATTTCTTAATTAGGATTACGGACTGTCCACCCCAAAATTATTTGATTCTTTTAGCTCCCTTTAGTATTAATTTCCTCTGACCCTGATAAAACTTTTTACCTTTAGGTGCTCACCTGGTAGAGGTTATCGACTGCCAACAAGTGCCTTGGTGAACCTTTCTCATGGGAGTCGCTCTGAAACAGGAAATCAGAAGTTGACAGCCATTGTGAAACCACAGCCAGCTGTGAATCACTATAGCTCAAGTTCATCAATTTCATCTGGTCATTTGGGAGGTCTGAACCATTCCCCTCAATCACTTTTTGTTCCTACTCAAGTAAGACTTTTATTTAAATAATGATCTTGAAAATATCTGTTTTCTCTTTGTATATTTACTTGGTAGACTAACACTTATTTTGTCTTATATCACCCAAATGTCCTATATTATCTCCTACAAAATGACATTAATTTGAAAGGTAAGGGAGAGGACTATATCATGTTTATCAAAGGCAATTTTCAAATTCCCACCATATAACTCATGGGTGATTTCCTTTATTTCATCTTCCTCAGGGCAAAACTTGAATTGTTTTGTGTGAGATACTTAACTTTATTTAATTCCATGGCCCCAAATTTTAACCAAACTTTTTGTTTTGTTTGTTTTGTTTTGTTTTTAAACATCTTTATTGGAGTATAATTGCTTTACATTGTTGTGTTAGTTGCTGCTGTATAACAAAGTGAATCAGCTATATGCATACATATATCCCCATATCCCCTCCCTCTTGAGCCTCCCTCCCACCCTCCCTATCCCACCCCTCTAGGTGGTCACAGAGCACTGAGCTGATCTCCCTGTGCTATGCAGCTGCTTCCCACTAGCTATCTGTTTTACATTTAACCAAACTTTTTAATCCAAATAGCACATGTTTATTATAGACTAATTAGAAAACAGATAAGTAGATGATAACAAAGGAAACAAGCAAAAATCCTCTCAAATCTCATAGGTAACCACTGTCAAATTTTGTTGCATATTTTTCTAGATTTTTAATTTGCATGAAACCAGTTCTCCATAAGTAATAGCTGATTTTTTTAATCAGATTATTTTTGTGTAAGATAAAAAATTTTTTAATTTTTTTAAAATTTTATTTATCTTTGGCTGCATTGGGTCTTCGTTGCTGCACGCAGGCTTTCTCTAGTTGCAACGAGAGGGGGCTACTTTGTTGTGGTGCACAGCCTTCTCATTGCAGTGGCTTTTCTTGTTGCGGAGCACAGGCTCTAGGTGCACGGGCTTCAGTAGTTACAGCACGTGGGCCCTAGAACATGCGGGCTTCAGTAGTTGCGGCGCGTGGGCTCAATAGTTGTGGTGCATGGGCTCTAGAACACAGGCTCAGTAGTTGTGGTGCAGGGGTTTGGTTGCTCCACGGCATGTGGGATCTTCCTGGACCAGTGATCGAACCTGTGTCCCCTGCATTGGAGGTGGATTCTTAACCACTGAGCCGCTAGGGAAGTCCCAAAAATTAATATTAAAATAAATATTATTAAATATTAGCTTGAATAAGATAATATGCCAGTACACTGGAAGACCAAAAAAAAATCTTCTGGTGGGATATTGATTCAGTATAATCTTTTATAGCATTTGTTATGCTTTAAATATTTTTTAATAACCAATTACGTCTGTAGAAGAACATTTTCACTCCAGCAGTATACTTTTATGGTTACTATACAGAGCTCCAGAAAAAAAGAACTAAGATAGCAGATAATGAAATTTAAATATCCTGTCTACTGCTAAATAGCTTTAATAAATAAATTATTTGATTTTTAGTCTGAATCTTTATTTTTTCATGTTTCAGTTTTCCTTAAGTTTTTTGTACTTTCCCAGGTACCTGCTAAAGATGATGATGAATTTTGCAACATTTGGCAATCCTTACAGGGATCTGGAAAGGTTCAACACTTTCAGCCACCTCTACAAGAGAAGGTTAGTATACCTTGCTTGATGGACATTTAATTTTTTTTAATTTATTTTATATTTCTATTTTAGGTATGCAGTGATTACTTTTCCTCCTGAAATCTCATAAAATAGAAATAACACTTTGATCTTGAATTTTCATAGTTCTCTTAGGCTACATGTGTTTTTGGACTAATGAGTAAGAATGTAGACAATTTTTCTTTTTAATAAAGGCTTTAATGGCACTCATTAACTTATTCACTTCCACTTGAATATATAGCTTTATGCTGGCAGTTGGTTGTCTTAGATGTGAATGAGCAAATTCACATTCCTTGATAGAGTTTAAGAAAAGGAAAGAAATTCTGCTGAAAGAGTAGACTCAGGCACCAAAAAAAAAGGAAAAAGAAAAGGAATGAATTCCTACTACATTTTTTGCTAATTACTAACCTAACTTCTCAGCTTAGGTCAAAAAGGAATGTCCTCTCAGGTTTATAAACCAGTAGCCTGCACCATGAGGGCCTAATTTATTCTAATGTCCCCCCGTGATGGTGGCGTCATCAGTGCTAGGGAGGGGAAAATAGCAAAGGGAATGTTCGTAAAGTAAACATGAAACGTGAGAGTGACAACAACACTGTAAGTCAACTGTACTTCAGTTTTTAAATAAATAATAATAAAGTGGGAAAAATAATCTAAACAAAGTAAAAAAAAAAAGTGAGAGTTACAACGCACAGGTCACTTCTGCCAATATGCTCTTTTAAGTTTTCCTTAGATCATTCATAAATCTTTCTACATAAATGTAATCCATAACCAGATTTTTTAACCCTCTTTTCCTCTCTCATTTATTTAATATGGCTAATTCCTCAAGAGTGCTTTTTTATCATTCATTCAACGTGTATTTATTAAGTGCCTACCATGTGCCAGGCATTGTTCTATGCACTGAGAATATAGCTGCAAACAAAACAAAAATCCTGGCTCTCATACAGTTAGTACTGTAGGGAGGAAAGGACAATAAATAAGACCAAAAAAAATGGTATATTAGATGATAATATAAGTTTGAGAAAAATTGCAGGGAAGCAGGATAGGGAATTTTGGGGAGGGGGAAGGCAAGGTTTTTCAGGGTTTTTGTTTTTGTTTTCTTATTGTTGGTTTTTTAGGGGGGTTTTGTTTTTTTTTTTTTTTGCTTTGTTGATTTGTTTTCTGGTTTGGGTTTTTTTTTTAATTTTGGTTGTGCTGGGTCTTGGTTGCAGCAGGCAGGCTCCTTAGTTGCAGCTCATCAGCTCCTTAGTTGCAGCAGGTGGGCTCCTTAGTTGCAGCTCATCAGCTCCTTAGTTGTGGCACATGGGCTTCTGAGTTGCAGCAGGCAGTTTCCTTAGTTGCAGCTCACAGCCTCCTTAGTTGCGATTTACTGGCTTCCTAGTTGCAGCACATGGACTCCTTAGTTGTGGCATGCGAACTCTAAGTTGCAGCATGCATGTGAGATCTAGTTCCCGGACCAGGGATCAAACCCGAGCCCCCTGCCTTGGGAGTGTGGAGTCTTAACCACTGCACCACCAGGGAAATGCCCTGCAGTTTTAAGTGGAATGTTCAGGTAACATTTGAACAAAGATTTGAACGAAATGAGGAGTGGATATACAGATATCTGAGGGGAGAGTATTCAAGACAAAGTCAAAGGCCCTGTTGGGGGTGGTGACCCCTGGCATACACAAGGATGAGGAGACCATTTGGCTGAATCAGTAGGGTGAGTTGTAGGAAATGGAATTAGAGAGGTAAGAGATTGATACTATGTAGGACCTCCTGGACCATTATAAGGACATTGGCTTTTTACTCAGTGAGATAGGGAATCAGCAGAGGGTTTTGCACAGCAGAGTGACATGATTTGACTTATATTTTAATAGGATCACTCTGCCTGCTATCTTGAGAATAGAATGTAGAGGAACCAAGGTGGAAACAGAGACTAGTTCAGAGACTATTGAAATCATCAAGATAGAGTTGATATTGACTTGGACCAGGGTAGTAGGACCCTGTGAAAAGTGGTCAAATTCTAAACATATTTGGAAGGGATTTCCAGCTGATGATGAATTGGATATGCGGGTAAAAGAGAAAGAATGTATTAAAGGACGTGACTGTTAAGGCCTGGATAGAGGGGCTATTAACTGAGGTGGGAAAGACTGCAGATCTGGTAGGTTTGTGGGGGAAGATCAGGAGTTCAATTTTGTTAAGTTTGAGATGTATACTAAACATTTAAGAAGAGTTATTGGAGTTAGATACTTGAGTGGAGATGTAGAGTTGGACATTGAGTCTGAAGGTCATCAATGTTGTCCAGGCTGGAGAGAGAAATTTGGGAATCATTATATACATATATATGTATATACACCCACACATATACATATATGTGTGTATATGTGCATATGTGCATATATGTGTATATATCTATATTTATTTATCTATATCCAAGAAAGTGGATAGATAGAAAAAAAGTTCAACAACTTAGCCTTAGAGCATTCCATCCTTCAAGAGTCAGTGAGACTAGGTGGAACTAACAAAGAAGACTGAGAAGGAATGGCTGGTGACGGGAAGAAAATCAGGGAAGGGTGGTTTCTAGATGCCACGTGAAGAACAGATGTCAGAGAGAACAGAGTAATCAACTGTGTCAAACGCTGCTGATGGATCAATTAAGATGAAAACTGAGAATTGACTATGCACAGAATTCAGCACACGAAGGCCATTGGGAACCTTGACAAGAACAGTTTCAGTTAAGTGATAGGAGCGAAATACTGATTTGCGTGGGTTTAAGAGAAAAGAGGAAGAGAGAAATTGGAGGCAGCAAATATGGATAATTCTTTCAAGGAGTTTTGCTCTAAGAGAAAACATTACCCCGAGTCTCTCCTCTTTCCTTTCCCTATTTGTTCAGGTTCTTTGTTAACCTCTGTTCTTCCAGCCTTTCACTGGGGGCTGTTCCCTAAAACGCAACAGTTTTCTTTTCCCTTTTGCCTTATTCCTTGACTGGTGACTTTGGGTCTTTCTTCTCTGCTAATTAACACTTAATCTATGTCTCTAATTCCAACCTCTCAATCAAGATCTAACCCAATATCTCCAACTTTCTAGAAGACAGGTATAGATGGATGCTCCGCCATCACCTCGACTTCAGGATGTCTCACAACTGACCTCATCTAAAGCCTCTTCTCTTATCCTTATTTTCTAACGCAACCATTTACTCAGGCATATAATCTGAAAAGCATGAAGTCAAAAATTTTTGCTTCTTCTCTCTAACATTTTTTGCATTGAATCCCCAAATCTTTTTACCCCTTCTCAGTTTTTACAACTGGACCTTAAATTGTCATCCCAGCCCTAGATTAACCTCCTATCTGTGCTTCCTGTTTCTTATGTCTTTCCTTTCTAGTCCTTCTTACATAGTACTTCCTACCTAATCTTTCCTAAAGAGCCTTTCACCAGTGTTGCTCAATCATGGCATAATTGAGCAACGTATCTAATAATAAGGACTCCTGCTTTTGAACTCAGTTTATGCCCTGTGGCAGTGTAGTGAAGATAAATCTGGTATTAGACTCAGAATCAGGAAATTGGGTTTTGTGCCTCAAGTTGCACAAATCTGATTTCCCTGGGCTTCTGTGGCCTCGTGTATAAAATTACGGCTTGGACTTAGATGAACTCTGAGGTCTTTTCCAGCCCTCAAATAGTGTTGTTCAAATACTCTAGAATGTATAGGGCTTCCTGTTTAATAGTAGTGGAATTCAACCTCAACTCGAACTAATATTTAGGCCTTCTATAATCCAACTCTGCCTAGTTCTTATATAAAGTATGTCAACTATTTGGTAAAATGGTCTGTTCTAATCAGATTGGTCTCCTAACTTTCCCTTTCCCATAAACAGGTAATTTCCACTTCAGATTCTGTGTTTGCATTGTTCCTTCCACTTAGGATGCCCTTTCCTCTCTCACTGCCAAAAAGTCTACTAGCTATGACCACCAATTTCCTTGAGATGGAATGCCACACTTGATATTATATTTCCTCAGAATCTTCTGTATGTATCTCTTATTATTAGGTGCTATTTCATTATTTATATCAGCTGAACACTCCCATGTTTTATGTCTTGTATATTCTAAGAATTATGAGCCACCACATATAACACTTATATCCATGAAGCCTTAATAAGCAGCCTGGAATTCATCTGATAAGCAAATTATAGAGAACTCAACATGATTTTTTTTTATAAAAAAAGGTATTCATGCTTCTGGAAAAGGCAAAACTATAGAGTCAGTAAAAATATCAGTGGTTGCCAGAGATTATTGGGAATGGGAGAGATGAATTGGTGGAGCACAGAAGATTTTTAGAGCATTGAATATGCTCTGTATGATACTATAGTGATGGACATATGTCGTTACACACTTGTCCAAACCCATAGAATATACAACACCAAGAGTGAACCCAATGTAAAATAAGGACTTGGGGTAACAATTATATGTCATTGTAGGTTCATCAGTTGTCACAAATGCACCACTCCAGTGGGGATGTTGATAATGGGGAAGGCTATGCATGTGTGGGGCGGGAGGTATAGGGGAAATCTCTGTACCTTCCTCTCAGTATTGGTGTGAACCTAAAACTGCTCTTTCAAAAAGTCTTCAAGGGCTTCTGGTGGCGCAGTGGTTAAGAATCCACCTGCCAACGCAGGGGACACGGGTTCGAGCCCTGGTCTGGGAAGGTCCCACATGCCGCAGAGCAACTAAGCCTGTGCGCCACAACTACTGAGCCTGTGCTCTAGAGCCCACGAGCCACAACTACTGAGCCCGTGTGTCACAACTACTGAAGCCCACGCGCCTAGAGCCCGTGCTTCGCCACAAGAGAAGCCACCGCAATGAGAAGCCCACTCACCGCAACAAAGAGTAGCCCCCGCTCGCCGCAACTAGAGAAAGCCCATGCCCAGCAACAAAGACCCAGCACAGCCAAAAATAAATAAATAAATTTATTTTTTTTAAAAAGTGTTTAAAAAAAATTCAAGTCTTTATTGGCAGAATATGGCAATGTGACTGACACAAATAGCTTTATGTAGACATCAAACAGAAGAACTCAAAAAAACATACTTAAAAGTAGGATATTTTCTTTCTAATTAAACTTAGGGCACTTTTTCTCTGAAATGGTACTGTGCACATGGGTTTTAGAGTTAGAGCTCAGATATCAGCTCTCCTATTTAGTTCTGTAACCAATTACATTATCACTTTGAGCCTCAGTTTACTCCTCTATAACATGGAATCAAAATACACCATAGCATTTTTATGATTATAGCATTATTATAATGATGTTAAGATAATGGATGCAAAGTACATCTTAACCATGCCTGGCACATAATAGACACACAGTATTCGTTCACACCAATTTATTGAACCTGCTGTTCTAATTCCCTTCTTTAGAGTCAGAATCCCTCACAAGCCATTGTGCTATGTGGATGGAAATCTCTTGGCCCTTTTTTTTAAAGAGTAAAGAGCCCTTTTTTTAAAAGAGTAAAGAGCCCTGGTAAAGAGCCCACATGTACCCAGTGTTCATTTGTCTGTGCTCAGAAAAAATTAAATAGGGCCCACCAAAAGCAAAATTGTGTAATCATTGTAAAGTGATTAATTTGTATTGAACATCTCCAGCCCCTACTTCTGCTTCCCCTTCCCACTTCAGCTGTGGCAAGTTATCTGTCTCTTTTTGCCTTCAGGTCTCTTCTCCCTATCAGAAAGCAAAAGGATCTGCTGTGATCTTTATATGAAACTTACTCATGTCATTTTGCTAATTTTGCCCATTCATGCACTGTCTCAATTACAGCAGCTTTATAATCAGTCTTGCTATCTGGTAATAGTCTTCCAGCAATTGAAAACCTTGACATTATAAATATTAATTAATAAAAATCAGATATTAGGGGAAAGGATGTGAAAGGGCTAATAATATCCTCAACTTTTATAACATAGGGACAGGAATGATGAATTTTTTAAAACTCTGATGGAAATTTTTAAAATAACGAAGTCAAGAAAATAGTATAATAAATCTACATGTACCCATCCTTTACCTTGAACATGTCCACTTCTGTTTCTTCCATGATACCTACTCATTTCCTATCCCCACATACCCCAGAGATAGGATTATTTTGAAGCAAATCTAGAGGGATCTTTAGAGACTGATATTTCTGTTATGAAGAAACATTCACCTAAAGTTTAATCTTTAGTTTCTCTTTAACTTCAAAGAAAATTAGATTGAATTCTTTCTGTTGAAAGCATTTTTGTAAAATGATTGTTTTCTGTGTACCTTACTATCTAACTAATGCATAGAGAAACGTCTGGAGTGGTGATCGTAATGTTAATGGTTATTTTGGGGGCGGTAGAATTTGAGTGGTTTTCTTAAATTCTCTATACTTTTCTGCATTCCTTAAATCTTTTTCTAGTGAGCTCTATAACTTTTATAAAAATAATAAAGTATTTATTAAGCATTGAGGAAGAGAAGTAGTTTTAATATTAAGAGTTTGTTTAAATCATTTATAAGAATTTTAATTTTCAGGGTGCAGTTCTACCTCAAGAAATAAGTCAAGTAACTCAACATCACAAATCTGGCTTTAATGAGAACAGCGTTAAGCAAAGAAAACATGAGCCTCACAGAAAATGTAAGTTATGAGTTAGAAAGTATACTTGTGGTGCTAACTGCTTCCTTTTATTTTTGTTAATTAACAGCTTTATTGAGTTATAATTCATACATGATAAAATTCATCCTTTTAAAGTATACAGTCAGTGTTTTTTGGTGTTTTCACAAAGTTGTACAACCAGTGCCACTGTCTAAATTTAGAACAATTTCATCTCCCCAAAAAGAAATACCATACTTATTAGTAGTGATTCCCCTAGCCCTGGCAACCACTAATTTACTTCTGCCTCTGTGGATTGACCTATTCTGGATATTTCCTGTAAACAGAACCATAAAATATGGGACCTTTGAGACTGGCTCCTTTCACTTGGCATAATCTTTTCAAGGTTCATCCATGTTGTAGCATGTATCAGTACTTCATTCCTTTTTACAGCTGAACAATATTCTATAGTATGAATACTACATTTTGTTTATCCATTCATCCATTGATGGACATTTGGATTGTTTCCACCTTTGGGCTGTAATAAATAATGCTGCTGTGGATGTTTATGTACAAGTTTTTGTGTGAACATATGTTTGCAGTTCTCTTGGGTATATATGAATGAATGGAATAATTGAGTCATGTGTTAACTCTATGCTTAACTTTTTGTGGAACTACCAAACTGTTTTCCAAAGTAGCTGTACCATTTTACATTCCCACCATCAATATATGAGGATCCAATTTCTCTACATCCTCTATAACACTTGTTATTATCCATCTTTTTTATTATAGCCATCCTAGTGAATGTAAAGTGGGGTCTCCTTGTGGTTTTCATTTGTAATTCATTAATGACTAATAGTGTTGAACATTTTTTCATGTGCTTATTGGCTGTTTGTATATCTTCTTTGGAGAAATATATATTCATATCCTTTGCTCATTTTAAAATTGGGTTGTCTTTTTATTCTTGAGTTGTAAGACTTCTTTTTATATTCTGTATCCTGTATGCTGAGCAGATATTTGATTTGCAAATATGTGCTCTTATTCTCTGGGTTGTCTTTTAACTTTTTATACAGTGTCCTTGAAGTACAAAAGTTTTTAATTTTCATCAAGTCCGATTTATCTGTTTTTTTCTACTTTTTCTTTGTTTGCTTATGCTTTAGGTATCATCTAAGAAACCATTGCCTAATTCAAGGTCACACAAATTTACACCTATGTTTTCTTCTAAGAGTGTTATAGTTTTAGCTCTAACATTTAGGTCCTTTTTTCATTTTTGAATAAGTATATACATGGTATGAGATAGGGGTCCATATTCACTCTTTTGCATGTAGATATCTAGTTGTCCCAGAACTATTTGCTAAAAGACAGTTCTTTCCCCATTGAATTCTCTTTGCACTCCATTGAATTGTCTTGGCACCCTTGTCAGAAATCAATAGATGTATGGATTTATTTCTAGTTTGTCAATGCCATTTCACCTATCTATATGCCATCTTTTTGGAACAACACACCGTCTTCATTACCATAGCTTTGTTATCAGTTTTGAAATTGGGAAGTTTGAATCCTCCAACATTGTTTTTCTTTTTCAAGATTATTTTGTCTGTTCTGGTCTCTTGCATTGCCATATGAATTTTAGGATCAGCTTGTCTGTTTCTGCAAATATGGCAGCTGGAATTTTTATAGGGATCATATTGAGTCAGTAGACCACTTTGGGTAGTACTGTCATTTAGCAATATTAAGCCTTTCTACTCCTTTCAGTGATGTCTTGTAGTTTTCAGTGTACAAGTCTTGAACTTTTTTTGTTAAATTTATTTCTAAGTATTTTATTCTATGTAATACTATTGTCAGTGGAACTGTGTTCTTAATTTTGTGGGGGGGGAGATTGTTCATTACTATTTATAGAAATAAAACTGACTTTTATATATTGACCTTGTATCCTCGCACCTTGTTGAACTTATTTATTTGCCCTAATTTTTTTGGCTTCTGCAAATAGAGATAGTTTTACTTCTTCCTATACAGTCTGGATGCCTTTTATTTATTTTTCTTGCCTAATTGCTGTGGGTAAAACCACCAGTACAATGTTGAATAGCAGTGGTGTCACTTTTTATTTTCCTCCTTTTTGCAAGAATTCTTCCTTACCTTCCTCTCTTCCTTTCTTTTCCCCTCTCTGTTCCCTCTCTTCCCTTTCCTTCCCATCTTTGTCCCTTCCTTCCTCTCTCATTCCATCCCCTCCCTCCCGCTTCCATCCCTTCCCCTTACTTCTTTCCTCATCCTCTCTTTCCTCTTTTGTCTCTTTTGTCGCTCCCTCTCTCCCTTCTTCCACCCTTTCTTCCTTCCTTCTTTTCTTTTTTCCCTTTCCTTCTTCCTCTTCTAATCCATCCTTTTCACTTTATTTCTGTTCCCATCATTTCCCCTTAACAGGAATACTAAAATAGTTTCCTGCTTGGTCTTTTACTCCTTCTACCTAGCTAATAAGCCACTGCCATACTATAATTTTCTTAAGGCACAATTCTGATCAGATTCCTACCAGCTCAAAACCTTTCTGTGATTGTGCCTATTGCCTACCAGTGTAATTCCATAGTCTTCAGTCCTTTGCAGATTGTGGCTGCAGCCTGCTTCTCTAGTTAAATTAAGCTGCATTATACTCCTCAGCCTCCAGCAGAACTGGTCTGTTTTTAGTTCTACAAATATTCCTTGCTTTCTGCTTCTACTATTATTTATCTTTTCTCCTATTATTTCCTTTGCTGGAGTACTTAGCCTCTTATTCTGCCCTTTGGAAACCTGCCGTCCTGCAAGGCTCAGTTAGATGCCACCTTTCTTTTTCCCTTATTGTTGTCATCTGTGAGTTTCTCTTCTCACCCTCATCTAAATTATAAGTTCCTCAAGATCAGGGCCTTTGTCTCCTTGGAATTCTGTGAATTTTTTAGACAGTGGTAAATACTTGGTAAATTTAATTGATGTGCAGCAAATTTCATTTAACAAAATCTCAGTTTTCTTGTCTCTAGTTAAAGAAGAGTGTAAGAGTCCTAAAACTGAGAGTCGGTCACAAAAAATGTCAAATAGGCAGGTAAGCTTCTTAAAATCACATTTCTAGTAGCCCACTTTTTTTTTAAACCTCTTTATTGGAGTACAGTTGCTTTACAATGGTGTGTTAGTTTCTGCTTTATAACAAAGTGAATCAGTTATACATATACATATGTCCCCATATCTCTTCCCTCTTGCGTCTCCCTCCCTCCCTCCCTCCCTCCCACCCTCCCTATCCCACCTCTCTACGTGGTCACAAAGCACCGAGCTGATCTCCCTGCACTATGCTAGTAGCCCACTTTTTATTGTAGTTGGTGGCTCTGTGGCATCTGACTGAATTTTGTAGCCCTTTCAGCCAGATTCATAAAGTGCATGACAGGAGGGTTGCTGAGCCTGTCAGTCACTTGGATGGGAGGTTGTACAGCTGGAGTCCAGGATTTGGAACTAGAGAGACCTGAAGTTCTGGTTCTGCCATTTAACAGCTGGGTGGCCTTGAGCAATTCACTACACTTCTCACAGCCTCAATTTCTTCATCTTTAAAATGGAGATAAAAATATATCACTTGTGTCTCTCATTATATATAGTCTGTATATACATAAATACATACAAACATACTTACATATATGAATATATGTGGGTACATTATATGTATAAAATATGTAGAAATATGTTTGTATATTCAATGAAAGTATATGGACCAACATGGCAAAGTTAACAGTTAATTCTGTGGAGTTAGGTTAATGGGGGAAACTGAGATCATTTATGTTTTATTTTATATAGTTTGTTGTTTGATAAGGAGTATGTATATATTTTATAGTCAAAAAAACATTTTAAGTCTAAAAATATTTATGTACACTTACATGCATTTTACATGGATATTATATAACACAAAGTTCTTAAAAATTAGATCTCTTATAAGCTATAATATATTACATTCATAAAAGATACCTTAGGGCTTCCCTGGTGTCTCAGTGGTTGAGAGTCCGCCTGCCGATGCAGGGGACACGGGTTCGTGCCCCGGTCCGGGAAGATCCCACATGCCGCGGAGCGGCTGGGCCCGTGAGCCATGGCCGCTGAGCCTGTGCGTCCGGAGCCTGTGCTCCGCAACGGGAGAGGCCACAACAGTGAGAGGCCCGCGTACTGCAAAAAAAAAAGAGATACCTTAGAAGATATCTTGGCACATAACAGGTTCTCAGCCCGTTAATTTTTAGATACCAATAAAGGGTTGAATTGCATGACTTTCAGAGTCATCTCTTATGCTATAATTTCCTTTCTTCTAGAGAAGGGGTTCATAAACTCTTTGTGCCGTGGACCTCTTTGGTGAAGCCTGTGGACTCTTTCTCAGAATAATAGTTTTAATGCTACAGTAAAATACATAAGATTTGAAAGAAAACCAGTAATATTGAAATACCATTAGAATCACCACCATTGTGTTTTATTGCCTACATTCATAATTGAAGGGAATACTAAGTCTCATTTAGAAATTAATGAAAATAAAGATGGAATTTTTTCCCTCATCAAGTTTATGGGCCCCCTTTTTTCTCATGGTATATAAGAGAAAATAACACATTAAAAAGTTTGCAGCAATTTATTTAGAATACTATTAAGTCGGAATTATAATTTTATTTGCACAAAAACTCATTCGTACTCTCTTACAGGTGTTTGAAGGGCCTGCCAAATGTAACGTTAAGCTTTTGAAGAGAAATGAGAGTGCAGAAGTCTCAGAAAACCGAAAGGTTGAAACTAGTTATCCAAATGCCACTGATAAGCTAAAAGACTGGTTTATACAAGTTCTCTTCCCAAACTTTAACACCTGGGAAGAAGATTGAGTGAAAATTAAATGATCATTTTTGTACATAAAACTCTGAGCTATTTTCGTGTCCTTGTACTTTCATCTTCATGCACAAAATATTTATTCTTTTAGCCTAATCCTGGAATTGAGAACTTCTTAGCATCCTTGAATATCTCCAAAGAAAATGAAGTACAGTCATCTCATCATGAAGAGCCTCCAAGCGAAGAACATTTGTCACCACAGTCATTTGCTATGGTTCGTATTTTGTAAGAGCTTGTACACTATGGTAATTTCATTACTGTTAGCCACACATACCCTGTGCAACAGTTAAAACACCTTCTCTTATGTAGACTGGTGTGTGGCATTATTATTGTCATCCTGTGAGAAAGATCGGGCTGCCCTGGGCAATTTAGCCACCATAGCTCCCTTGCTTTTCAAACATTGCCACTAGACAATTTGGTCCAAAGTTAAGCAGAATGATAAGTATTGTTTCTTTGCCAGGAAATGTGAATTTTTTTCAACTCTTATTTTCCTTATTCTCTATCTCAATGTAGTTATCATCATAATTTTTAACAATGGAACTTATTAAAAGAAACATCAATAAGGTCTGTAGCTTTTAACTTTTCTCCCTTATCCCTACTATCTCCATACCAATCATTTTCAAAACAGAAGGGAACTCGGATGCTTAAAGAAATTCTAAAAATTGATGGCTCTGACACTGTGGACCATAAGAATGAGATGAAACAATTTGGTAATGAGGTCACTGTTTCCTCCAGTAGAAGAGATGAATATGGATCTTCCTCACAGCCTAAACAAAGTAAGAAATTAAGTAAGTAAGCTAAGTACTAGTACTAATGACCAATCACTTCAAAAATCTAGTTCATTTATTTTTTAATCATGTGATTTTTAAAGATAATTAAGTATAATTAAGAGTAACGTGGGCTTCCCTGGTGGCACAGAGGTTGAGAGTCCGCCTGCCAATGCAGGGGACACGGGTTTGTGCCCCGGTCCGGGAAGATCCCACATGCCGTGGAGCGGCTGGGCCCGTGAGCCATGGCCGCTGAGCCTGCGCGTCCGGAGCCTGTGCTCCGCAACGGGAGAGGCAACAACAGTGAGAGGCCCTCAAAAAAAAAAAAGAGTAACAAATAAGAGTATAATTTTATACTTGTGTCATTTATATAACAATGTAACTATGTAACCAATAGATCTGTAGTCCCTAAATGTCTTCTTGTGACGTTTTTTTCAATATTTCTTTTTTTAATAAGTTTATTTTTTTAATTTAATTTTATTTATTTTATTTTATTATTTCTTTTGGTTGCACCGGGTCTTAATTGCGGCAGGTGGGCTCCTTAGTTGCAGTTCGCCGGCTCCTTAGTTGTGGCACGTGTGTTCCTTAGTTGCGACCAGCAGGCTCCATGCATGTGGGATCTAGTTCCCTGACCAGGTATCGAACCAGCATCCCCTGCATTGGAAGGCAGATTCCTAAGCACTGCACCACCAGGGAAGTCCCTCCTTGTGACTACTTAAATTATACTATTACAGATACTCATTTTGGAGATCCCAAACCTGGAAAGGTTTTCACATTTTAGCTTTTTCTCAGTAATTTTAAAATGATTATGTAACTTAAATACATTACTTAACTTTTCTATAAATTCTTTTATCTACAAAATAACATTGCAAATGACGGTTGTGATAATTGTATAACATATATAAAGCAGTTAGCACTGTGTCTGACACATCATAGGTGCGAATAATTGATATTAGTATTACGTTAAAATAACTTGAACAACATAAAAATAGGAGAAGCTGTAAAATCAATTTAAAATAATTAATGGAGGCACACGCTGGAAAGTGGGCACTTACCTAAAGTCTAAGAAGCCTATAGCATAACATCTGGCACATAGCTGGATTTCAGTAGATGTCCATCATTACCCCTACCTTCTGCATCCCCTGTACTTTAATATTTTGACTGTAATTATCTGCAAAAGCCTACCAGGAAAAATGACTCATGTAAAAGTAGGTTGGGGACAGAAGTTTCTCAGAGAGGTAAAAAACATTTTGAAATAAGGTAATCTGTGTTTATTAAGTATCAAAATCAGAGCCTAACTTCATTTATACTCCACTGAGTATTGGGATAAATAATTTAAAATTCCAGTAACTATCAGGAAACAATATTTATCCTAGGGACAGATATGCTCTTGAAATAGAGCAAAATAAAATTTTAAAACAATATTGGATAAATATGGTCCCACTGTCAAAAGCAAGTAACTTTTACTATACTTCAGTATAGTAAAAAATATCATCTACCTTAGAGTCATGAACTCGGAATCCAGCTCATGTAACAGAACTAATGTGTGACTTCAGGCAAGCCACTTAATTGCGGTACGCGGGCCTCTCACTGCTGTGGCCTCTCCCGTTGCGGAGCACAGGCTCAGGACGCGCAGGCTCAGCGGCCATGGCTCACGGGCCCAGCCGCTCCGCGGCATGTGGGATCTTCCCGGACCGGGGCACAAACCCGTGTCCCCTGCATCGGCAGGCGGACTCCCTACCACTGCGCCACCAGGGAAGCCCACTTTTTTTTTTTTTTTAATCTGTAACAGTAAGAGGTTTAGATTCATTCTTCACTGAGGTGTGCTTTTTGTTCTGTTGGTGAGTTTGTTGATTATAAAGAATGTGAACTTTCAGAATTTTTATATCATAATAAAGGCACTTAAAAGACTTAATTTCAGAAAAACTTTTAAGAAGCATTATTTTAGAGCAAAAGAAACATTCATCCATGTGTCTCAGAAAATAGGATGGAATTTTGAGAAGACTGAAGCTAAAGCCTCAGAACTTAAGAATTAATTGTAAATCAGCTCAAGAAAGCCATTTGCATGTTTAGATTTTTGCCTGTGAATAACTAAGTAGTCATTAATCTCTCACAATGCTAATTTTTGGCAGTCATCTACTTACATTTTTAAATCTTTGTCTTAATTATATATCAGTAATTAATTATAATCATCTAAAATCTTCATTGAATTTAGTCATTTTAGGCAAAACTAAATAGTTCTTATATTTGCTTCATGGGAGATTCCTCTTCTCACTTTTTAACAATGTCCTCCTTGCTATTCTGTAAAGCCCTGCCATAATTGCATAGTTTGAGATATCATTTAATGTGGATATGTCCTTTTCTCTTTTTTGGCAGCATCTTATATGAACAAGCCTCACAGTGCTAGTGAGTACCATAATGTTCAGTCTGTGGACAGTGTGTGCTGGCCTGCTGCCAGCCAGATTCCTCCTGTGTCCACACCAGTAACTGAACTTTCTCGAATTTGTTCCCTTGTTGGAATGCCACAACCAGATTTCTCCTTTCTGAGAACACCACAGGTATTGTATATTACCGTTCTTCCATTTACATAACTTATTGAACACTGAGCTTAAATAAATTGACTGAAAATCTTTGGCTAGAAATAATATAGTGGAGCTGATTTTTTTGACTTTATGAGCAGCATAGATTAATAGCTCTCACTCTGGGTCTTCCATTTATGCATAACCAGACCCCTCAGAGAAACTGGTAGAGGAACTGGGCAGCAGGTAGCCTCGCAAGATTCTTCAGACTGATAGAGCTAGGGATCTTGGTCTCTAGCAGCAGTTTTCAAACTTTTTGGTCTCAGAGACTCCCCATCTTTTTTTTGAGGACCCCAAAGAACTTTTGTTTACTTGTGTTATATCCATATTTACCAAATTAAAAATTAAAACTGAAAAAAATTTTTAATGTTGTTAATTAAAAATCACATCGAGGGCTTCCCTGGTGGCGCAGTGGTTGAGAGTCCGCCTGCCGATGCAGGGGACACGGGTTCGTGCCCCGGTCCGGGAAGATCCCACATGCCGCGGAGCGGCTGGGCCCATGAGCCATGGCCGCTGAGCCTGCACGTCCGGAACCTGTGCTCCACAATGGGAGAGGCCACAACGGTGAGAGGCCCGCGTCCCATTTTTGCAAGTCTTATCCATCTTCTAGCTGAATAGAGAAGCTAGATTCTCATATCTGCTTCTTACTATCAATCTCTTGTAATACGTGGTTTTGGTTGAAATATATGAAGAAAATCTGGCCTCACACAAATAGATAGTTGGAAAAAGGAAGAAAATTTTAATAGCCTTTTCATATAACTGTGGATATTCTTTGATACTACATTAAAACATGGTATTTTCTTAAAAGTTAGTGCAATGTAGAATCTGAAATTATATCAATGAACTTTTTGTTCTCTGTATACTTATGAAAAAATGAGAGTGAAAAGGGCAAATAGCATTTTCATATTATAATAAAAATAGTTTGAACCTCAAGGATCCCCAGAAAGGGACTCAAGGACCTCCAGGATCCCCATACTGCACCTTGAGAACCACAGCAGGAAGGCTGTTTTCTCCTTTTTACATCCAGGTTCTTGAAACATTCTCACCTAAAGCAGAAAGCATGATTAAACTAATAATACTACATAAAAATGGCTACCTTTTGAAAAAGTAACATTTTTTAAAATCTTTTTTATAAAAGAAAAGCGCATACTGTAAAGAGTTATCATTTAAATGTAAATATAAAATCAGTCAGAACCTCTGAGTCTTTTAAATTTTAGCAGTTAATTCATATTAGCGAAATATGTGCTTTGTAAAGGATGGTGGAAAGCAGGGGTCAGCAGATTTTTTCTATAAATGACCAGATAGTAAATATTTTAGGCTTTGTGGGCCATATCGTCTCTGTCACAACTGCTCACCTCTACAATTCCAGTATGAAAACAGCCATAGGTGATATATAAGAGTGGGCTTGGCTGTGTTCCAATAAAATCTTACATACAAAACAAGTAGAAAACCTAGTTTCCTGATCCGAGATATAAAGAAAAAAGTTTTGCTGGCTTTCATTTACATTATGATGGTTGGTCCTTCAGCTAGCTTAGAGATCATTTTAACTTTGTAAACATTGAAAGATAAGGCAACAATTGTAGTTTTTGCATCATAAACCAGAACTTAAGCTGATAGTCCCTTTTTGAATTCTTAAATTTTTTTTTACAAAATGTTAGATGAAATTATTCCATTTGTTTAAACTAAGCTTTGGAGGAGGAGGTCGACTTCCTGGACAGATAACTTCATAACCATTCATGTTCTTTTTTTTAGACAATGACAGTTTGCCAGGTAAAATTATCTAATGGCTTACTGGTACATGGGCCACAGTGCCATTCTGAAAATGAAGCCAAGGAAAAAGCTGCACTTTTTGCTTTACAACAATTGGTGAGAACTGTCCATGAATTCTCTACTAACTCTTTAATTAATCCCTCTGGATGTTTTTGTTGCATTGTTTTATAACTTTTAAATACTTCCATAGGGCTCCTTAGGAGTGAATTTCCCTTTGCCTCCACCAATATTTCCAAGTTATCCTCCTGCTGTACCACCTGGAACCATTCCTCCAGTTTTTCCCCAACCTACTGGTAAGATATTTTGCTCTTTTCAATATTAGTTATTGAATTATATTGTTTTTGGAAAGTTCTTTTAAGAAGCATCATTTTGAGGAAACAAAAAAAATTACCTAAATGCTTAGGTAATTTAAGGAGTTGTGAGAAGTAAGCCTGAAACCAGAGTCTGCAGGTTCATCTAAAAATACCATTTGCCCTCCTACAGTCTCTAGTGTGGCTAGATAGAGTAGGACTGTTCTCCGTTTTGGGCAGCCCAGTAGCTGCCAACGCATGAGTTTGGGTTTAAGGTAGACATCAAAAACACAGGGATGGGGGGGGCGGGGGTTGGTTGTAGGGAGTTGGGGGAGGTGTGGGAAGAAAAAACAGAGATGAAGGGAATAAGAAGCTGTGGATTTGAAAGAAACTGCCCTTGGTGATGAGGGAAATGAAGAGCGGAGGGGATTTTGAGCTTACTCTATGTATGTTTCTTAATATTCTCTCACATTAAGGATAGGTACATAGAAGACTAAAGAGCTTTTAAAAGATAATTACTCTTAAAAGAATTTTTTTTTTAAGTTTTACAAAAAAAAAGAAACATAATCAGAGTACCCTACTTGGCTTTGCAGTAATAATATTTATACAGTCACATATCATAAACACTTTATAATTTTAAACAAACATTGTAATATACTTACATTGGGAGGACAGGGTAAGTAGTGAGGGGTGGTATGAAAGAACTGAATTTTGATCTATCATAACAGGAAGTCTAAAAGTGCCTAAAATTGAAAAATCAACTAGCAGTATAAGCAAATTATTGAACAGTTTGGAAATAAACAGCTAAAACAGTTAAACCTGGGATGGACCGGATGACTGCTATATTATGTTGAAAACCCTTTTTATTACAATATGTATGTGTATAATTATCTTTACTTTGATTTGTTTAAAAATGCAATTTGTCTAAGGTCATAAGTTACTAAGTAGCAGTAGTAGCATTCAAAAGCAAATATATCTAATTACAAAGCCCACAATTTTGTTACTGTACTACACTGGCATTCCTTTGCCTGTATAAACAATGTGTAGTCATAAAATCTTTATGACACAGTGGATCTGAAGTTTTCATATAGCTCAAGGTAGTAAGTCCACTATAACCTGGAAAATCTAATTTAACTACTTTTTCACTTTCAAAAATGAATCCAGCAACTATATATCAATTAATTTTAAGTAATTGGTTCATGCAGGTTACCTAAAGGTCTACCCACAAGCTTCTCTCAAAAAGGATTTGTCTTATGAGAATATATTATCTAAAAGAAATGATTGTTTTCCCATTTATTATTGATATTTTATAGCTTGATATTTTACCTTTTTAATGTTGATTATTATGTTTACGTTCATTATTATATCATGTTTATTAGTGTATTCATACCTACCAAGAATTTTAAAGTTTAATTGGAGTTCTTTTGGTTTTGTGCTCTCCAGTGTTCCAATAATAATATATGATATAAAAGCCATGAGATCTGAATGTTAATCAGGAGAAAACAACTTATGCATCAGATTAAGATTTTAAAGTTATTTTATAGATTTCCACTTTACGGTATGAAAGGGTCCCAATGGAGAAAAATATATTTTATATTTAGGACAGTGATTTTGGGAAATGGTTAAGTTGACCTATGCATAAGATTACTATAGCATCTTTTAAATAGGTCTTCTTAGTCTTATAACTGCCACCAAACTTGCACATAACTTTCTAAATCTTACTAGTGTGTTTCGTATTAAGACTGTTCTTTATCCTGGAATTTTTACATGTGTAATTCATAACATTGAAATATATTATGATTCTTCTCTCCTGATCCAAACATTTTTTAAGTAGCTGAGTTTTAGTTAAGCTATACTGTCTTATAATTCTGGCTGCCTTTTTATCTCTTTAAAAAGAAGGTTTGAGCACAGTACATACCTTCTTTGGTGGCAATGTGCTGGTGTCTCAATTGTCATTGTTTAATGCAGTAGTTCCCAAATGTTGCACTGGTGCTGACTGTGGAAGAATCACCTGTGGAGCTTATTAACAATACAGATTACTGGGCCTCTCAGAGTCTGATGTACTAGGTCTGGAGCTTTGCCCAGGAATCTGTATTTCATAAGCTCCCTATGTGATTCAGATACACAAATCAGTCTTGGCAACCACTGATTCAATGTGCTTTTAATAAGAAAATGTAAATTTTTTAAAAATTCTTGAATTACAAATATTAGAATAGGGAGAAAGATTCTACTGTTATATGAAAGTGATCAGATTTCAAGACTTAAGCTTTTTTGGTTTTTTTGTAGGCTGGGATCACTATGGAAGCAACTTAGCATTGGGGGCAGGTGAGATTCTTGAGATTTCTCTCTTTGTGCCCTGGCTTTTCTCCCCCAAGGGACAGTTTCATGACCCTTTTATTATTTTTTAAAATATTATTACAAATATTCCTAAAGCTTATATCAGTATATGGTACTATTGACCTTCGTAGGCCAGACAGCATAATGATAAGCTGACTTCTGTAGATGATTCACAGTCCTTAAGGGGCTCCTGAGATTGAACGTTGTAAGCAAGGGTAATCAGAAGTTAAGTGTATGTGCCCTTTGCCAAAGCAAAAAAAGCCAGAAAAGGGTAGCAGAAGGAGGTCTTAAATTTCAAGGCTTTTATGATACCATTTTACTAAAACAGCTTTTCCATAATTTTCAACAGCTAATATAATGCCCTCATCATCTCATCTCTTTGGCTCAATGCCATGGGCACCACCAGTGCCAGTTCCTGGGAAGCCCTTCCATCATACTTCATATGCTGGGACCATGCCCATGGCTGGAGGAATGCCAGCTGGTGTGCACAATCAGTTCATACCTCTACAGGTGAGACCTGAAAGAGAATTATTATATTTTTTTAACAGAATTAGTTTCTCACTGCTCAAAGACCATTGATAAAATTTTGTTTATTCAGTAATTATTCAGTGCCAACTAGAGGTCCATTCAGTACTGGTCTGGGTACTGAGAATATATTTTGACCAGTGGTGACCAGTCTGACCTGTTCCCTGCTATCTGAGTTTGTGTTCTAATAGATAATAATAATTGCAACAAGTAATAACATCCTTTTCTAGAACAAAGGGATTTAAAATCAGGAATATCAATTTTCTTTATATTTAAGTTATGGATAATTTTTAAATATTTTATTTGTAACCATATTCCTTGAATTTCTAAAGTCTGGTTTGGAGGTTATAAGTGGAAGTCACAAGTCAGCAGTGATTGACAAGTATTAGCAGCATGGTTTATGGTATTTTCTGACACTAGCTTTTTTGGTCTACATTGTTAATTAATGATGCTTTTATTCCTCAAAGGTAACTAAAAAAAGGGTTGCAAACAAAAAGAATTTTGAGAACAAGGATGCCCAGAGTTGTCAAGCCACCCTACTTCAGACTAGCCAGTCAGCATCTTCTGATGTCACCAAAGTGATTCCACAGGAGAGTTTATCAGCTTCCTTCAAGTCCCCTCAGATTACTCAACTTGCGTCTCCTTTTCAAGTTGAAGCTGCCTCCCCAGGCCATAGTATGTCTCACCATAAATCAACACCAAGCTCCTCAAGAAGAAAATCAAGAAAACTGGCTGTCAATTTTGGAGTTTCTAAACCTTCTGAATAAATTGTACTTGGAATTAAGTTAATTTCATTCCTTTCCTCCCACCTTTTTATAAATCCATATCTATGTCTCATAAAAAATTACAGTGTACTATTTTAAAACAATATATTTCAATTAAAATTTTTTAAATTTTTAGTTGTCAGGCACTTTTCATGCTATTTAAAAGACTATACATCAAATTGTGCATCTTAAGTATGTGCAATTTGTTTTACATCAATTATACCTCAATAAAGCTGTAAAAAAAGACTAAATTCAACCTTGTTTTAAAATAATATCAACGGACTAAGCATTCAGATGTACCACTCTAATCATTGGCCTCATCATTAGAAGCATCCTAAACTATGAATTAGACATCATATTGCAATAATTATAAACATTTTTTACACTATCATTGAGGGATAATTAAATGGAGCATGAAAATTGGGCCTCAAGTATAATTTACTGAATGTGGATTTTATTTCTCTTTTTAATGATGTAACAGAAGTGTCAGGAGAATGGCTCTTATTTATAGGTATTTTAACTTAGGTTTTATTATATCTGAGGGTCCTTTGGACCTGTTGTGAAGTGATCACACTTGTGGTGGTGCTGCCAGTTTTGCTTTATTCTCAATTTTGTACCAAAGCAACTTCAGAATACTGATCAGAATATTTCATTTAACTGCTTAGAATTATAAATAGCAATCTAGATTTGAGTAAATAATTACAATTTTTTAGATTATTCAAGAACCAGCATTAGTAATTTCTAATAAAATTAAGTTTCAAAATCTGCAGGGTATAATGATTACAAATTAATCTTCTAATAGAATAAAGTACAAAATATTAATCATGTTAATTAAAATAAATTGTGTTATCAATTTGTATAGCTTTTTACCTGCTTACTTAAACATACATGAGAGCTCCGTTGTTGGTCCACGTGTAGTGCTTCCTGGAACTGATGAAATTCTAAATTTTTTAAAAATAACAAGGTGTGCACAGGCACCATCAGTGTATACTGTACATTATTTATATGACAAGTGCCCGTCTCATTCTCGTTCCATATTTTTAGCTTTATGCTGAACTGCCCAGGGACTCTGGCGTTTTGTCTTTGCATGTCACGTGTGGGTGTGTATTGTTCAAGCTGTAGCTGTTGAAATTATTTTAGAGTTTATGAAAATGTCTCAGTGGTACCAGGGCCTGAGTTTTTATATATATGTTTGTGCTTTCATTTTTGTGATATGCTTGTATTTTTAAGGAAGTAAGTTATCATACTTTTTTAAAAGTACGAACAACAATCTTTGTATGGAACTGATTATGATTATATTTAGTTTCATTTGGCTCATTGAAAACTCTGCTATGAGTCTTTGTTTGTTTTTAAAAATGCTAGTACTGAATTAAATGGATTTCTTTCTCTAACTGCTAAATGTTAGAGTTTCTCTAAATGTTAATAGGATATTTGTATATCAGTCGTGCCTTTAGTGTAAGAGATAAATGTTCATTATCTGTCATTTATCACAGTCATGTGAGTTTCTGTGATTTTATTTTCTATTAATTTTCCTAGATTCAGATGTTCATTGGTTCCCAGAATTTCTTTTTTGGGGAATATTTGTTTCTCTGTAATGGGATCTTGAGTAATGAGGCTCAAGTAATTCTCAGTGTTTGTCCTTATTGCCTCACGACCTTTTTTTTTTTTTTTAAGGGAACATCTGTTTGGGGCATACAATACAAAAAAGTTAAATTGTGACGGTAAGATTATGTCAACCTCTTACTACTTTAAAGTGTATAATATTTTTCACCTTATGTAACTTTACAAACTCCAGCATTCAAGAATTGCCTCACTCATCATTGCTCTGTGACCACTCTATAAACAATGTACAGCCCACATCTTTTTTAAAGCCCAGAAGAAGGAGCACGTGCCGTCTTCTGAAAACTCCAAGAGAAATTTCGGTAAGCACAGTGCCGCTGAACCCATATACGGATGTTTCCTCAGTATTCAAGCAAAGCAAGCTGACAATTCTAGGTGGATAGGCAGTAAAAGTGTTTTCTTTTCATTCTTTCTTCTCATTTTAAAAAATGTATTATTCTAAAAGTCAAGACTAAAGAGAGATTAAAATGGGAGAGAGCTCCATAATGACTAGATAGTGTCAGGCATTCATCTATGTTCTCTTCACCTTGTACACCTATTCTAAATGTGGACCTGAGAGCAGTAGATGTGCCCTCTCTGGGGAGGATGTAAGAGGCAGAGACTGTTTTTAATCTCTCATGACAATCTTGAGGAGACTAGATCCACTAATAGACTGGGAAACTTACAGTTTTTCCTTTTTTGGATGGTGCAGACTCAGAATACCCCGAAGTTTAGAAATACGCCCATTCAACTGTTGAATCTGTTGTGGCCTTTCTGTGGAAACCATGGGCTGTACAGGGCACAGAGGATCAGATTCCCCAAAATACTTCATGTTTCCACGTACTAAGAGCAGTTAAATCTATTTAAACCTTCTTCTCCTCGCTGAAACATTATTTCTAAATATCTTTGTTCAATAAAGTTTTTTTTCTTTTTTTTTTTTGAGCAAATTAAGTGAATTTTGAAGATTGGTCCTTCAGTCTCATTGTTCCTTTTCACCATTTCCTACATTACCTGAGCTTTATAATTTTACAGATAGACTGTATTAATTGACTGAAACATCATGTAGACTCACGTCTTAAACGTCTGAGACTCAGTTGCCTGAAAAATTAATTTCACCTCTGTATCTTGGTTTCAGTTTAAGACTTTCCTTGCTGTTCAGAGGGATAAGTAGTTCTTTTAGAACTAAAAAGATAAGGAGATCTTTTTTTCCTGTTGGTGGGAGAGATGAAAAACTCCTGATGCAGGTTTTTTGTTTTTTATTTCCTTTTCTATAATCAGGTACTTGCTTTGGTTTTAGACTGATATTTTTCAAACTAATCTAGGTTTTGGGGGGAGGGGTCAGAGAGGGAGGCAGTTGGAAGAAGGAAACAGTTAAATAAGACCCATCCAACACTGCATTTTTAGACTATATCTTTCTAGCTCAAGGAAATAGATAAGTTGCAGGGTCTTTTTTATTCACTCATTTTTTTTATGATTTTTTTTTTTAATTGGAGTATAGTTGTTTTACAACGTTGTGTTGGTTTCTACTGTAGAGCAAAGTGAAGTAGAGTTCCCTGTGCTATACAGCAGGTTCTTATTAGTTATCTATTTTATACATATTAGTATTCACTCACTTTTAAATCATCTGTTTTATTTGTATTAATAAATCATACATTTTCATAGTGGTTGTCTAATTTTTACCTTTAAGATAGCTAGGACTGTCCAGCTGTCCTTTGAAGTTCATTGTAATATGCTTCATCTCATTGTCCAGAGCCTCTTTTTTAAAGCAACTGTGTACAATCTCCCAGCTTTTTGAGTTTGCTATATTTCTTAGTACCGTCTGGCTTCCAAATTGTGTTTTTACTGTGGAGGAGAATTAATTTATTGGAGAGAAATGACCATGACAGACATTCTCAACCTTTAAAAAGAAATGAATCACAGAAATTCCCTTATTTTTTTTAGAGACAGTGATATAGAACTCAAACTGGCAGTGTTCTTATTTCATAAGTTTTGTCAGTGAAACAGTGTTTTTTTGCAGGAGCTTCCTTTCCTAGTTAGGATAATGCTTAAAATTCCAGAAATGAATGTGTTTCAGACAGAGCTGGTTCAGATTTCCATCAGACCACTCCATCTTCTGCCAGGGAGCAGTATGAGACAGCGGCGAGACAGACAGAATGGGGGCAGGTGGAAGTTTCACTGACTTAACTCCAGCACCACTTATCCTTTGTTTAGAAGGAGAGAAAAAAACAGGTATAAAATAGTTTTCATAGTTAAGAATATCACCAATCCATAGCTGCTTTTTGTGTGTGTGTGTGTGTGTGTGTGTGTGTGTGTGTGTGTGTGTGAGAGAGAGAGAGAGAGAGAGAGAGAGTGAACCAGCAGTAATGCCTTGCTCAATCGCATTCAGCCATCTCAAGTGCAATTCATGATGGAGACTCTGGTTTCCAACAGATAAAGTTTTACGTAGTTAAACCTGTAAAAATTAATTTTTTTTCAACAGTACACCTATTGCTATTATTTCAGCAATTGGTATACTATTAAATTGCCCAGGCCAAATAATTAAATTTCTGTAGATGTTTTAGTAATTCGAGCCAAATCCTCATACTGTTTTCTCATAAAGAATGAGAATTTGGTCCTCAGTTTGCTTTAAGTTCTCTTATTCCTTTCTTTCCCTTACAGTTAAAGGACTTTTTTGTTTGTTTTGGAGCTTGGGGGCTTTTTTTTGCCTGAAGTGTCATACATTTTCTTTTGCCTGCACCCAGTTGCTTCTTTGAGTGTTTTCATCTATTTTGATATATGAGTAATAGATAGTGTACTATATCATCAGAGTGTTCCAACGTTTTGTTCTTTTAAACAATGTAAGTAAGTATAACTCATACATATATATATCTTAATTCCTTTCTTTCCTCACATAAGTATTTTATAAGTAACCGGAATTTTTCATTAGATCTTATACAGAGCAGTATTTTATTAAAAGTTCAAAAGGGAAGACTTTTATGTGCTCATTTTGTAGTTTTTGGTTTATAAATATCTTTACATTGTCTTCAATTAAAGTGTTTTAAACTTGCATTGGAATGGACTCCGAATGTATTTTTGTGTTAAGCTGTACATTTGTAGATTTCTAGCATGAAGTTAGCCTCAAAATGTGCAAAAGGATTTTAAAATATATGAATCACTGAAAGAGTTTAAACATCTATACATGTTAAATGATATATGGATTTTAATTAAACCTTTGAGAATGATTTCATAAGTTGTTTGTTCTTGTATGTTTGCAGTGATATTAAAAGCAGAAACATTACAGTATTCACTTAAACCTCATATCCTTTTTTTAGCAAGTTTTTATAAAAAGTATTTATTTACTTATTTGGCTGTGTCGGGTCTTAGTTGCAGCACGTGGGATCTTCGTTGAGGCATGTGGGATCTTTTCTTGCAGTGCACAGGCTTCTCTAGTTGCAGCGTGCAGGCTTCTCTCTAGTTGTGGCACGCAGGCTCCAGAGCATGCAGTCTCGGTAGTTGTGGCGCACGGGCTTAGTTGCACTGCAGCATGTGGGATCTCAGTTCCCCATCCGGGGATCAAACCTGCATCCCTTGCGTTGGAAGGCGGATTCTTACCCACTGGACCACAAGGGAAGTCCCAAACTCCATATCCTTTTATATTGGTATTTTGAAACTATGTCAGTTAGCATAAACTAAACAGCACGATTGGTGGAGAAAGTCGGACTATAGATTCTGTTGGCCACTGTTCAGATCCTACCTCTACTTCTAATTGTAAATAAATCATTCTCATTTTAGGACTGGCAAGTTATGTAATACCTACGCCTCAGTTTCTTCATCTCCTAAAGGAAGAAAACAACACCCCTTGTATGGTTAATATGTTTAAAGCACTGGGTACATAGCAGGTATATTACAGATGTTAGTAAATAAGGATTTGTCACATGTACCCAAACACACAGAGTCCTGTATGGTGCCAACTACCTCTATGCTTTTCCCACTGAGTCCCTCTCCAGTATTCAATTCATGCAGAGTCCCCATGCCTCTCTTAGGCATCTGGGAGACTTTTCTCTTTCTGTTCTTCCTTTTCCCTGCCATTGATCCCCTCTATCTTTTCTACCAAGGGGAAGGTTCTTACAGAGCCATGTTGGAAGAGGCTTTAATTCTTACTCATAAGACTGGGGAACCTACAATACTAACATCTTGCTAATTGGCCATGTCTCACAATATAACTCCAATGCATTATTATGCGTATTACCAAAATCTCTCTATGGTAGGGGTGGGAAGGAGTTGGAAAGAAAGGGTTAAAGAGGGAAGACAATCTCTACCTACTAAATCTGCTTCCAGCTCTGCCCCTTCAACCTGAGTCTGTCTCTACTGTTGTACTTTTACTCAAGACCCCAAGGAGTGGTCACATTCTGATACGGTGTTGGGCCACCTTCATCCAGCAGAAGGCACGAGGCCTGGGATCACCAGTGGAGACATCACCAGCTGCTTTTCCACTTCATCCCCCAGACCGCCAGCCCCCCACGGTAACCACCCCTGTCTACCCCAACTCTGTAGCATCACTGGGCTCCCCCAACCTTGGTGTCAGTTTTTTTACTTGAAAATCAAAACTAAACAAACCAAAACCCACTCAAGCTAGCTTAAGAAAAGGAAATTTGCTGTAAGAATATGGGGCTATCTCAGAGAATCCAAGCAGGCTTCTCAGGAACTGAACCTTAGTCGAGGTGTCACCTTCCAATTCACTCTCTGTCTCCTCTCCATCGGGCCGTGGGCTCTATAGTGTCTGTGACTCTCTGTAGATCAGGTCTTTGCTCCGACATCTATATTTGGGGGTGGGGGACAGGTCACCTTGAGGGGCCACCCCTGCTGGACTGTGGGTTGATGAGGAAATTTGGACCTATCAAAGGTAGGCTCTTAAGAAACAACCATATTCTGGACTGGCAGTCAGTCCTCATAGTTCATACATAAAAGGAGGCCTGCAGGGACTTCTCTCGTGGTCCAGGATGTACAGAAACCACCTAGAATCCAAAAGCAGAAACACGGCTGAGCTTCAAAGGGGCTTGGGCCAAGAGCAAGAAAGCTGTCAGAAACATAGATACCTAACTTCTCCAGTCTTACCTCTGCCTTTCTGTTTAACACTCAAGCCTTCCATATTCCCTTTGTACATTGCTTTAGTTCTAGCAACCAGCCTCGGACTAGCATCTCTCCATCTCCATTCCAGATGGGCTAAGTTTGTATCAGGTGTCCACCTCCATGTAAGCAATTAACATCAACTAACACAAACATGGCTGCCAAGGCCCATTCATGTGGAGCGATGTTCTTCAGAGCAAGAAAGATCAGGATGTGAAGATGCCTCTAAAAGCTATTCTCATAGGAGCTATTACATGATTTTAATTAAGTAGGGGTTATTTGCTCTCAAAATGAAAACTGGTGGCATTGCAGAGAATTGAGTAGAGAGAGTGGAAATCATACACAAACAGAAAGCTGTTTCAGTCATCCAAGTAAGAATGATGTAGCTGCACCAACTCTTAGGAGCTCCTATATTCAGTATGTTGAATGTCAAAGAGAAACAAGAAATGTGGAATCAGAGTTCCAGCATCACCCTCTCAGGCTGACCCATTAATATTTTACCAGAGATTCTCTCTGGCATATTGTAATTCATGGTGTAGCTGGTCTGGAAGCAACACAATAGATCCAAGCCTTCCTGAGGACAATTACGTTCTCCCACATCCTCCCGTGTATGACCTGCTGACTTTAGTATCTAAGAAATATGAGCTCTTTCCAAGAAGTCTCTCTCAGCCTGATGACACTTCCTAGAATGTCAAACAAACATGACTTCTGCAACTATATTCGTGGATAGCAGAAGCAAAATCTATTTCTTTTTTTAATATTTATTTATTTATTTTGGCTGCACTGGGTCTTAGTTGCGGCACGCGGGATCTTTTAGTTGCAGTGTGTGGACTTAGTTGCAGCATGCAGACTCTTGGTTGCGGCATGCATGTGGGATCTAATTCCCTGACCAGGGATCGAACCCGGGCCCCTTGCATTGGGAGCGCAGAGTCTTACCCACTGGACCACCAGGGGAGTCCCACAAACTCCCATTTCTTACCAAGAATGTATCACATGGAGTCAGAGCTAGCCTCAATCACAAAATCCTGAATGACAGTAGGTACTCTTTGCTCATTATGTTAGTACATTATGTTCTACAAAAGACAACTGAGCACAAACTGATGGAGATATCCCTCGCGTTATGGCCAAGGCTGGGAATTTCTCCACTATGTCGGTTGCAGGGCAATTTGTATTGTTCACAGGCACAAGTCACATCATTAATTATGTCTCTATGAATATAGCACTGAAGGTTTGTGCTCCAGGCTCAGTGATAATAATAGTTACCACTTACGGGCTATCTGCTAGGTACCATCCACTTTATATAACACTTTCAATCTTCAAAACAACAGTAATATAAAATAGTATTAACTCATTTCACAAATAAGGAAAGTAAGACACAAAAATGGCTAACTTGCCCAAAGATACAATATGCAGCTGAATTGGAATTCAGAAGAGATCATGTTGCATCCCCAAACCCATGTTCTAGTTTACTTTCTCTTTTGAAATTAATTTCTAATTGTTTAGGTAACATATGGCTGCATTGCCTACAAATTTTGAAAGTATGGCAGGTAGGAGTAAAATCTTTGGACCACCTTCTAGAAGTAATTGTTGTGAGCATGTGGTGTGTGTCCTTCTAGCCTTTTTTGATGCCACCCTATCTGCACATACAACTACTTATAATTGCTTTTCTATTTTACATAAATGGCGTCATGCTTTAGGCATCATTCTGAAACTTGCCTGTTTCCCTCAGCAAGTATCTCTGAGACTTGGCCTGCTCTGCCACTCATGCTGTTCCCCTTCCTAGGCCCACCTGCTTCTCTGAACACCTGGCAGAGCAAGAGGTAGTGATGAAGATCTCAGCTGATCACCACTGACAGCACCAGACACTTTGAGGGAATTTTTTTCTTTTTTCCAACATTTCATTATGAAAATTTTCTAATAGAGAGCAAATATTATACAATGAGCATGCATATACCCAATACCTAGATTCTACCGTTAACATATTACTATACTTGCTTTATTACATATCCATCCAACCACATTAGCAGAGCTCCCTGAAGCACCTCATTGAGCTATCAGCTCTGCTCAGGTTGTCAAATGACCCATATGACACCTAACTGGATGCGCGGGGAGCAGTGGTCAAGCTACCTGTGGAACCCAGTTTGTTAGATGTCAGCAGAGTTCTGTATCCTGGAAAGGATGTCTTTTATGGAAAAACTACCTATCCTGCAGGACATCCAAGAAGATTTGACTGAAGGAATCACTCAAAATGGCCTAGAACTGTACTTAAGGTTGAAAAGACTGTAAGAGAATGGATTACATATCAGCCTGCCAAAGCAAACTATCCTGGGTCCCTCCTTTTCGGGAGGGCAGCCCCAAGAGCTCCATCAAGAATCCAGACTGACTTCAAGGAAACCATCATGGTCGATAGCTTCCCCAAATGGATCCAGGTCTTCCCCTATCCAACTCAAACCTCTGGAGAAACAGCCCTGAGAGAGACACCTGTTTGCAGCACCAGGATGTCAGGAACGACCATTTATGACAGTAAGTCTATCTTTATTTCATTTGACATGAGGAAATTTGTGGTCAAGATCCTTACTGTGCAGTACAGTGGGTCAGGTTGTAAAGACAGTACAGATCTCTAAGCACAAACTTGCCAGGTTTTGTGTCCCTCCATAGCAGATATTTTTTTAAGGAATGTGGCCAAGAGTGAATGAATGAATCAACGTTTTTTAAAACAGAGCATTATCTTAAAGCTGGCTTTGCCTATTTGCAGCAAAACTTAACGGGCATACAGCATTCTGGTTGCAGTTTTGTCTGTAGGGATTCTTGAGTTAGGTTTATTCCAGGAGTATATTCCCACCCCTGTGACTCGGGTTATTGGGCCTGTGACATGTACTAACAGGCCATTGTGGTATCCCCACACATAGCTGAGGCAGAAGTGTTCCTCAAGGAATGCAAGGGGTGATATGGCACCAGAAAGAGGTGAGCTTTCTGGCAGAGGGCAAGAAATTAGTGGAGGGAGTGCCAGCAGGGACCAGGGATAGATTAGTGGAGCTGGCAGTGCAGAAGGGAAAACTTCCTATACTGCTTGAAGGAGATGCTTTGATATTGTTCCACATGTATTAGTTGAAGG